GAGAGAGAGAGAGAGAGAGAGAGAGAGAGAGAGGCGCGACTCTTGAGTGAGAGCATCGCAACAAGCCACACCATCTCACAGAGAACACGACATACCTTTGCCAGCGTTTGGAACGCTGCCAAACACTCCTTTGCGCATCTTCCAATGCTCTGGCCCCGCCCAATTCTTGGTGAGTTGCCGATCAAAGTAATCGAACATGTCTCCTTCCGCAGCGCCTTCTCCATCGGCATCTTCTGGGTTCTTGAACGCGAGCTGCAGACCTCGATCTCCCGGGCCCGCTAGACCAGACCCAAAGCCAGCGCCTTGACCGCTTGGACCGGCTACACTTGAGGGCCCTGCTCCATCCTCTTCGCCTCCATGAAGAAGGTGGCCTCCAACACCCTGACTCGCCCCAGGTGCAGCATTGCCGAAGATGTCGTCGTACTCCCCGTCATCTGCCTCTCCCCCTCCAGAACCGAAGACGTCCACACCCTCTCCGCCAAAGTCGTCGGGGCCATCGTCAAAGCCCCCAAAGTCTCCTTCAACGCTGTCTGGCGGGATGGAGCCCATTCCGTCGTCTTCGGCGTATTGATGACCTTCAGAGCTAAGATAGTGAGATGCGAGGGCTCCAAACGGCGTGTCGTCATCAGCCGCAAAGCGGAAAGCGGAAAACGTTGGGCATACAGTCCGGTGATTGATCAGGGCGCCCAGGGCACTGTCGCCTTCGGCATACACAGCTTCATCTTCGCCAAACAGGGTAACGCGAAGACTTTCGAGGTCCATTAAATCCTCCTCGCGGACGCTTTCCTGCTGAGCTTCTGCCTCGGGCATCGGCGTCTTTTCCCTCTCGGAAACATCTTCGGCCACTTGTTCTTCGGCACCGTCGGTCACGTCGGCTACATCGCCAGCATCAAATACGATCCGAACTTTGCCATCTACGCCGAGGTGATTCATGAGCAACCCTCCAGCTCCACCTTCGTCGAAGTCTGCGCTCGTCTTCTTGAACAGAGGGTCTACGGTGAATTCCAAGTCGAGGCGCTTAGCAGCGATCTGGTTGAAAGACTTGACCAGCGTTGCCTCTTTAGCTTTGCTGCGCTTTTTCTTCTTTCCTCCAGCTCCACTTCCCTCGTCATCTTCGCCATCCTCGCCTTCTTCGTCATCGCCGTCCTTTCCAGAGCGACCCTTCTTGCCCTCCACGTCATCTTGCAAGCCAGACAGCAACTTGCCTGTCTCGACGACCACGCTGTCCACTCGAGATGTCCAAACCTTGATGCATCCATCCAGGGTACATGACGCTTTCTGAAAGTTGATGGTCCCATCGCCCGTGTCTGACCGCAGCAGCGACATGTCGTGGAAGTAATCGATGAGGGCAAAGGACCAAGTGTTGGTCGAATTGATTTTCTGCCACAGCCAGGGCGAGCGTTGTTAGCAAAGGGGTGGCGCCAGACACTCGCAGCTATGATCACTCACATTATCCGTAGCCATCTTCATCCACTCTTCAAAGCTGGTCGAGTCGACATTTAGCTTGACCACCTCCTTTGCGGCCCCTTCATGAGCAGCATCGCTCGCTGCCGCAGCAGCATTCAAGCTCGCTCCCAGGCTGCGGCGGGGTCCATGGGATCTAGCCAGAGCTGCGACGCCTCCTGTGCGACGCGATGAGGTGAGATCGTTGCCTGAGGCAGCGTGAGCGTTGGCATCCGAAGAGGGGCCACCAGGAGCATCTCCTCCCCTTCTGGACGCTGAGACTGAAGCCATCCTAGACTTGCTCAGTGCTGAAGCACCTCCTGGAACGCGTGGCTTGGAAGCGTTTGGGCGAGATGGAGCGACAGGTGGCGGGCCTCTCAGATCCGTGAGGGTCAAGTCGCCAGACGCGTCATGCGAATTTTCCTTGTCGTCGTTCTCCTCATCGTCTGTCTCGTTCAGGATCAATCCTCTGCTGGCAGCCTGAGAGACCCGACGAGGTATGCCTGACCTCCTCGGACCGTTGCCCTTTCGAGGCGGTGGCGGCGTCCCACTGCTACTGCTGACCATCTTTGAGTGTGCTTGCCCGCGGTTGAAAGGTCCGAGCGGCTCTCTTCGCTGGGGTTGCGGCAGCGTCCCGCTTGCCGCGCGTTTCGACGCGTGCGCACTGGGTGATGGGGTCTCGCTGTCTTGTCGACCCAGATGCCGAGCTGACGCGGCCGCTGGCATCGCTGAATCGTGCGCTTACGTTCAGCTGATTGACATGCGTGATGTGGGAGAGCGAATGATGAGGGCAGGGCGAGCGTGGCTGCTGTGGAAGCGAGTCTCGCTCCGAATCACGAATGGTATCCTCGCGCGTGCAGCCGAGACCGACAGGTGCTCGCAGCCGCCGTGCGTGCTGCTTGTGCTGTGCTGTTGATGTCGCTGCAGGCACGCAGATCGCTGTAGCCGGGCAATTTGAGCAGTGGTGTTGCACCGAAGGCGCACAAGTCTGTTGCAAAGGAGATGACGAAGAGAGGCAGGGATGGAGATCACTGTAATCTACTTGGTATATGTGCTTATATACGTGCCATGCGTGAAGGCCATGCCAATGCCATTCACCAAGCACGCCAGCCCGCTGTTTTCGGGACTCAATTGAAGCGGCATCAACCAACATGTGCC